TTTAAGTGTTCCAAATTTCTGGATCATCAATAAGACATAAATAAATTCTTTTTTAATATGTTTCATGCCATAAAGATCAATGATAACTTGCATTACATATCGGAAGAATAAACTCGATTAATTTTACATAACCTAACAAGTTTGCTAACTTGATATTGTAAACTATATAATCGATATCTTAAACAGTTCACTACCATTACTGGTTTCTTATAGTTATAAATATTGTAATCTAAGCTTTTAATCAGTACTTAAAGTGTTAATTGAAACTTAAACTCTCTGTGAGATGGAACATATTAACAAATATTTGATAGGACATGTGTGAGTATTCAATAATATACAAGAAATTTCTCTTTTAATTCAATATGTAATTAGTAAAACTTATGCTTTAAAAGGCAATTAAACATGTAAATTTTGAAAGATGCGAATGAATTTATTACTCAGTGTAGTATTTAAAAATACAACTACCAAAGTACATGCTGTACATCTTAAATGACCACTCACGGTCACATATCTAATATTCACTGTACTTGCGGAAAATTTTATTTTAAATATTTATAACAATTAATGCAAAGCATTCATATATTTATTGACCAGATTTGTTACTTAAAGAAATAAATACTTCATGTAAAAATTTTGTGTATGTGGACATTGAAGTTTTATGATGGATCTATGAATGATTTATTGTATGCCCATGGTGTTCATAACAGTTTTAAATAAGTGAATTTATTATATTGTTGAACTAAGTTTCAGGGATGTATGAACTACTTATTCTATAATGTTACATTAAATGTGTTAGTAATTGAGTAGTAATTGAATAATACATTCCGAATCGTTTAGAAATAGTATACACTTTCTTTCAATTCTTATTTGTTTTTTGATGAAATTTATACAAATGAATATCACCTACATATTTAGGGTGTCCCATTTAAAAAAATTTTTCAACTACGTTTAAAACGACGTCGTAAAATATTTCGGCGATTATACTTGTAAACATAAAAAAAGTCAAATCCATTGTATTCTAAATCAAATTATGGTTTTTTTCTACATATTCTCCTCCCCATCGCATTCGTTTTAACAAAACGCTGTAACCTTAATATTAATATTCAAAATTATGCCTTTCGGAATGAATAGAGATTTTCTTAACATTAAAATTAAAATATGTGCTAAACTAATGGCTCCTCAGCATAAGAAGATATTTTTTTACATGGAATGAATTACATCAATAAATTTGTAAAGATGTACGATTTTATTTAAAATATAATAAAACTGCACAAAACGTGTTGCCAGTAAACTCATGAGCTATTCAGAATATTTCATTTTTATCTAAAATAGTTATTGGTATTGTCAATGTCACGAACAATTCGGAAAATAAAATTATAAATAGGACATCCTATTGTCTGCATGTATAAAAAAAGAGTAAGAACTTTGTATCTACCGTTTAAGTGAGATTGGATTGAGAATTCTTAAAATCAAGTTTGATATTTGTTATCTCTAATCATTCCAATGTACTAGAACTCTGTTTTAGTGCCAAAAATAGTTTTAAAGAATAGAGCAACCCAATAAAGTTAACAAATGTTCTCAATCCTATCTCAGGATTACCAGTTATTGAAATTGTATGATCCTAGGATAT